GGAAATCCCATTTTCCCAAACCCCCCCTTCTTTTTTTCTTTTTTTTTTTTTTTTTTTTTTTTTATTTTTTTTTTTTTTTTTTTTTTTTTTTTTTTTTTTGAAGACAAGAAGCATTGAGAGCCAGTCATGCTGCTGTCGGGACGTTCATCCCGGGATCAGGTGCCTATTTTTACCGGCTTTCTTAAGAAAGGTCCTACTGGCCCGATGCGCATCCAACAACCTCCTGAGCCAAAAAGACGCAAACTGCGAATGTGCCTCTGCAATTAAAAACACACACTACATCTCTGCTGTGTCTAAAAAGTCCAATATTCCTTGAATGACAAGCTTTAAAAAAATAGAAAAGAAAAAACGGGACCAAATGAAATGGACTCGCCCTTACCTTTCTGCGGAAATGGATGAGTGCGTAAAAGCGTGTCAAACAGCCATAAATGTGCCGGTGCCGATCACTCCCGAGTCCTTCGCGCTATCAGCGACACAAACAGGGCGTCTGAAGGCCGCTGCCCGTGACAGACAGCTCGCTGCATGGGTTTGCCGGTGTCAGGTGAAGCAACCACTCCTTTTAGGGAATGCAGCGCCGCTGGGGGGGAAGGAGGCTGCGGGGACGAGTCCGCAATCATCTGTGATGTTCCGCCTCCGCTTCGCTCAAACTGTCCTGCTCGGACAGCATCCCTCCCCTCAATTCAAAGACTTAGAAGAAGAAAAAAGAAAGAAAGAAAGAAAGAAAAGACAGAGCAGAGGTGCTGCTACACGCAGCGTCTACTTATGACTGCAGCAGAAAACAACAGGAAGCAGACCTGCGTCCTTTTCTCCAAGGCGATCGATGCCGCTGTTGGGGGGAGGCAAGAGGGGGAGGGGGGTTGTTTACCGATCGACCGGCAATTAACGGCGTGTCTCCACCAGCTGGGTCTGGTTGCTGCGGCGAAAAGCCGCATGACTCTCTGATCGATTAGTCGGCCTGGCCGTCCCGGGCAGATGGAGCTTTTGTTGCGTCTATGGGCCCCTAAGGGAAACGCTTGGAACATCAGCGATGTTTTGGGCTTCAGTGCTGTTAGAATGAGGTGGAGTGTCAGCCCGTCACTGAGCTAGAGCGAGAGGTCATGATTGGACTGTGCACCAGCTAATCAATATGACACAGCAAACACATCTGATGTGGATGTCAACAAAAATATTGGAGTCAACAAAGCATCTCTATTTTTTTGTTGTTGTTTTTGTTTTCTTTTTGTAGTTTTTAGACGTATATCTAATTTTAATTCGCCATTTTCCTACCCAGGTTATTTAGTTTACGGATTCCACAACAGTTGGAAAGAAACTCTGAAATTAAGCAAAAATATTAACAACAAAATGCATTAGTAGACTATTGTAGGAGGCATGTCAAAATTATTAGTGATTTTTGACAGAATCCTTACTACATACATATGGCTGCTTTATGAAAACATATTATGGTGAAGATTGTTGCATATAAGATAATAAAGAGAATTCCTAATGGGAAACCTTGCATAAATGAGAATAATCTGGAACTGATACACCACCCTGCAAGAATTCACGTTTCTTTCAGCAATTTAAGGTTAATAATAATGATGATGATTATGATGAAAATATTAATCATCATCATCATCATCATCATATTAATTTAAACAAGTGCTGCAAGTCCTCAACACAAAAAACAACATATTAAATGACACAAGAAAACACAAATTGTACATAAAATCAGTTAAAATTCATAAGTTAGACAACAATGAAGTCATAAAAATACAAAAAGATATTCAAATGTTAAAGGCCTTGTTATAAAAGCAAGCTTTAGCAAACGATTTAATAGAAGACAATGTAGAGGTTTGTCTAACATTTAGAGGAAGAGCAGTCCACAAAGTAGGAGCCCCGACCATAAAAGCCCTTCCTCAAAAACGAGGAACACAGTAAAAGTCCGTTCAGCTCGTTTTAAATGAAGACGTTTGGGATCCAGCCAGGAGAAGCATAACTTGAATACATGGACGACACTGACATCTAGTGGTGAAAATTGGTAAGACTTGAGTGTCTTATTTCTCTTTCCATGAGGGACTGGATCAACAGCAGCACCAAAACAAGATGCAAGTGAACACCTTCACCCTATTGGTTCGTTTTTTCCTCATTTATTTTGCCTTAAAGTTACACACCAAAACTTTTAGTAAGCGTATAAATAAATATTAAAGTATCTCCTGGTTTTTTCTTGTTCCCTGACAGCCTGGAATCCCCTATCCGGCCTGTCAGGGTCAACGATCGATCCCTGCTGTCAGAACCTGTCTGGATCCACCCTCCCCTCTCCATGTCAGGGACAACTCAGTTATGCTCTCAGTGACAAATGTCTCACTTTTCCTTCACAGCCAGATGTATAAAGTTTATGCAAGCACACATTCCTGGCAGAGCACTGGACTGGATAGTCCTGGACTAGAGCGGAGCCAGACAAATGACAGTTTCAGCAATGTAACAGAGTTTTACTTCTGTATTTTGTTGTTTTCCTTCTTCTTGGTTACTCATGATAACTTCAGTAAGGAGTTTGTCTTGGACGATGGAAGCAAGTCAGAATGTTCCTTACTTGCTCTCGTAAACTTCATTTCCTACTTTGTGCCTTAATTATAGATGCAGCAAACTGACACCCTGCAGTGAGTTACCACCGTACTGTTACGTCTGACTTAACATGTCGGTCCCAGCTAGCCAGTTAATTTGAAATGTATCTTCACATGACATATGTCTGTACTAAATGGGAAAAATATCTTATGATGCAACAACATGACAGGGAAATTAGCATATAAACACATTTTTTTTTTACAACATATCAAAGATAATTATGGACTTACACAAGTTTGAAATATCTTTGAGAACACTTTCCATACCTCGAGGGTGCTACATCCTTCTCTACAAAGTTTTACACCCAAGTATTGTAAAAGTAAAATTAACGTTAATGTTCAGTCCACCATACCGTTCAGGAAGCAGAATTCCAGAAGTTAGTGTTTGGTGTAAAACATGAGCATCAAACCCAAAATAAAAGCAAAAAAACTTGATAATTATGCAAAATAAAATCCTGTACCAACATGGGCTGAAGTGTCAACAATTGAAAACAATTATGAGAAACCTGTGGAAGTATTTCCGTAAGTATATACTCAATTTTAAAGAAGTATCTCTGAGAAAATACTGTTTTCAAACAAAAAGTGATTTAACATTAAATGTTCACTCATGTTTAACATCGGTGAGGGAAAAAAAAAACAACTGCACCTATTTGTATAAAGTAAATATTGAGTTTCAATTGTGTTATTTTTCATTTGTAAAAATTGTGAAATGATCCAAAAGTTACATTTCATGTTTTTTTGCACGCTATTCATATGCTATACAAATAAATGAACATTTTACCATTTTTAAACCCATAAAGAAGTATTTAAATGATCAACTTAAAAACATGAAGTATAAATTATAAAAATAATTCAGCATTTATGTCACTGTGATGAGTGCTGGTGAGAAAGTGTTAAGTAAATAAATATTTTAATTTAATTATACAACATCAAAGAAAGAAGTCATCTTTACAAGGGATTGAAAAAATGTGTAGTGTGCCGCTCTGTTGCTATGATAATTTTGTTATTTAGATTTTTATTTTTGCCTCATCCATTTTTAAGGGTCAGTTTCCCTTTCAGCCTATGAAGCTATTAAAAAAACACCACAGTATAACACAAAAGTTACAAATTTTACATCTGTTGCAGTGTATATGAAAAATGACCTGCACTATTCCGTCCTCTATTTTTCCAGATGTTACTAAATCTCTCTCTGTCAAACTGAGCAGGCACCAAAAAAATAAAAAATAAAAAACCCAAAATGCCTTAAATCATTTAGCGCTACATAAAGAGTGCCGGGACATAACTCAGTCCAGGTCTTGTCAGAACAAGCGTACCACGTTTAACTGATGCTCAGCTCTACGTTCCCAGAAACAAAGACACTTTCCGAGCTTCCAGACGGTTCTGAAGTGGAAGTACAGTAGATCCAGCTGTAATTTTAGTGTTTTGCATATATTCGTGATAATGTTTCAGCTCTACTTTCCTTGTGGCTAGTTTGCATCTCTGTTTAAATTTGGTAATTTTGCATCCTTTTGAAGTCATGTCTGACTGACATCCTGTCTGTTTTTAGGACAGATGACCTTGTGAATCTCCCAGTTTATATCCACTATTTAGTTTATTTTGATATTACTAATTAAAATGGACATTTATGCTGGCTTTGTGTAATTTTCCAAAAAATATTTCCATAGTCTTAACCCACAGTTTTACTCAACATAACTTGGCTTGAATCTGTCTAATACTGCTTGTGTTCGTAGAGGCTCCAAGTCACTGCTGTTGGCAAAACAGAATTTTCACTGAAGTAGTCCAACACTGCCCTCTAGTGGAGTTTTAAAAGAACTGCTTAAAATTCTGCTCACCTAAAGGACTGAGTTCCAGGCAATTCGTGGATTATTTGAACAATCCCACGTTTTGTACAATCTCATTGAACCAGTTGGAAGAAAGGCTGCCTCATCCGCAAAGCCCTCAGACATAACATTTGCCACATCAATGAATACGATCTTTTCCCTCGAGCTCTGCGTGGTTCTTCAGCCTTCCACTCACCAACGGAAACACCGCTTTAACCACTAAGAGCTGCTTTTTCTATTTCAAGGTATCAAGAAGATTCTTGTATTTTTGTGTGTGTGTTTGTGTAATGGAAAGCACATAGTTTCGGGGAGCAATCACACTAATAAAGCCATTATAATGTTTGGAAATTTGGAGCCCGCTCGCAAAGATATTAGGTTCGGTTTGTATGATTTACATTATCGGCAATCGGAAAGACTGAACGGCTTCTCCGCCGTGAGTCACTTTTGAAGAAGATGGCATCACAGGGGGAGTTTGCTCAGACATGGTGAAACCTAGTCACATGCTTTCTGTAAGGTATAACTGGCCGTTCAAAACATTAAGTAGATATATATATAATTTACTTATTATCAACCGCTAAATGCGTTCGTTCGGTCTGACCACATGGCCACAGTAGAACGCTGCAATGGCCAGAGGCGCACATAAACACATTCGGAACCGGCGTACCGCTCCGTGCATCCACGTGTACACACATTACGCTTAATCCACACCAACCGCGTTCATACGCAACGGCACACTCCTGCAACGCATTCCCCTCCAACTGCTGGTCGGAACCCAGACACCGCATGCCAGTGCACCTCGCTCTCTGAGCCGCAGGCCGCAAGAGGAGAAGAAGAAACAGATGGGTACCAGCTGTTTGGACGAGCGCCCTGCGTGTACCCAGCTACTGTATTTGCACCACACACACACACGCACGCACACACATACACACATGCATGGACACTAATCAAAGACATTTAGCTGCTCGTGGAGTATTTATTCACACAGCATTTGTTTGTGCTGTTAAACACGTTTGAAAACCTTGGCTCGGTTTGCACCGAAATCGGAGACTTCCTGTTTTGCCGTTCTGCTCCCAACGTTCGCAGAGCTGCACGTTTATGGCAATTATGCAGGAATTTTCAAAAGAAATACAACTCTGGGTGTATAGGTAGGGTACATGCACTCCCCAGTTGCTGTGATTGTGCATTTAGAAAGTGCTAGTAAAGAAAGGGAAGTGTATTGATGGTTTTGAAGACGTGCACTGAACCACCAGATTTTTCCTGACTTTGTAACATCAAAGATGTTGCTCCGTTTTGAAATCTCGAAGCAACTTGTGTTGACACTCTTAGGCATTTATATGACCTTTAGTGTGTGCGTTTGCTCAGATTGCCTCAGATTGATCTTAGCTTAAAAGGAGCATGAATGACACTGTAAGATGGAAACAAGTTGGTTTTTATTAGTTGATCTATGTGAAGAAATTAAAAATAACGCATTAAACTAGTCACTGACAAAAATGAAACCTCTAACGATCAGCTTCAGTGATTTAAAAATGAGAATCGTACAAAAGGATCACTGGCCAAAATGGCTTCATCTACAATGTCGGGGTTGAACAAACAACATTGGTTGGGAATACAATCCCATAACAGCACATATTTATGCTGCGCCAGCAATGAGTGAAAGGGACATTTCACTGTTCTTTGCTTAAGGAGTCAGAGAGATCTGTGGAGAGGTGTTTGGATGTAATCTAGATACAGCGACTCCCGTACACAGCGGCTTGCTGAAAATAAAACTTCAACTTTTCACAACCTGTCAAGTTACAACCACAAACTGCAATTATATGCACTTGGATTTCACATGACAGGCCGATACAAAGCAGTCTATGTATGTGAGGTGGAAGAAAGATGAGACACAAGTTTCAAAATGTTTTACAAAAAAAAGAAAGAAAGAATTTGAAAAATGCATAAATTTACAATGGGCTCCTTTTATTCTGCTGTGCCTAAATAAACTCACTGTAATGGTTCACTAGAGGGACCCAGAAATTCAGCCACGACACAGGAGTGAGCAGAATACTCAGATATTTATTAAAAAGCAGCTAAAGCCGGTCACACAGGATCGTCAGCTGCAGCACTGCGAAGGGGGCGGAGAAGAGAGATCGGTGACTGGAGAGATAGCAATGAAGGGATCTTGTTAGTGTGTATGAGGGGAACACTAACCTGGCTTGGCGGTCCGGTACCGCGGTGATCGGCTGAGGGACGAGGAGACAGCAGATGCTGTGCTGACGCAGGGCGCCGGAGGAAGCGCCTGGAGAGGGGAAGCGCTGATACTGGGCAGCGCACTACTGGGTGAAACAGCAGAAGGGCCAAATCCAGATCCGAATACTTAGTCAGACGAGCGGGGGTCATGCACAGTGGGACTGAGAGCAGAATCCGTGGGAGTGGGCGAGAGCAGAGTCAGCGAGACAGGCGTGGGTCGAGATCCGAAGGGCAAATAGCAATAGTCCGACAAGGGCAAGGCAAAAGGGGTAGATCCGTGGAACAAAGCGTGGTAGAAACGATGAGAGCGAGACAGGAGTGCTGGAAAACTACTAGCTGAAAGCGTTCGATAATCTGGCGACTTGGTAGTGACTGAGAAGGGCTTAAGAAGGGAAACAATCAGGGAGCAACACAGGTGTGGGGAATAACGGGAATGAGGGGTGTGGCATGGATAAGTTCAAACAAAAACACAGAACACCATGTGAACATTACACTCACAGCAACAAACTGCCTTCAGAGGTCACTTTCATAAAAGGTTTAAACAGGGTCTGGTTATGAAATAATACCCTGCACTTTGTAAATACAGAGCACTGTTTAATCCATTATCTGGAGAAGAAAAGAGTGTTCCTCCTCTCCAAAAATAGTCCTGGCCGAAGTCTTTCTGTCCGGTTTGGATGTTCTCTCTGTCCATGTGGATACTCTGCTCCACAGCCCAAAAGCATACATGAGACATCTGCCATTAGTTATTGTTGCGTTTGTGTATGTCACTGTGTCGTCCTGCGATGGAGCCTGTCCAGGATGCAATCCGCCTCTCATCCAGCAACTGCTGGGGAAAAGGGAACCAGCAACCCGGAAAGGATCATGGCTGTTAGAACGGCCCATTCAAAGTCCACATCTTCATTAATCCAATTGTAAATCTGTGGCAAGGCGTGAAAACTGATGTTC